GGTGCGCAAAGCGAAACCAAGCGACGTACGCACGGAGACCAAACGCGCACACGTCGCGATCGAGGAACAGCCAACGCGAACCGAAAGCAAGCCGATGGGCGAGATTGCTCGAACGACGAGCAACATACGGCGGCTTACCGACGAGGAGATGCAACGACGGCGAGAAAAAGGGCTTTGTTATTCGTGCAACGAAAAATTCACGCCAGGCCACAGATGCAAGGGTAAGGAGGTCTTTTTGTTGGAATTTGAGGGAGAAGAAGAACCAAGAGAGGAGTCCTTATTACACATGGTTAAGAGTAAGAAGCGTGGTCCGAAGATGATCACATTCACGGCTGAAGTTGGAGGAAAATTGGTAGAGGTGCTGGTCGACAGCGGATCTACGCTGAACTTCATTGATGAGGAGTTGTCCAAGGAAATCGAGATTCCGTTCACCAAGGTGAAACCTTTTGGAGTTAAGGTTGCAAACGGGGAAACCCTACGAGGGGATATTCTATTCAAGGATGTTAAGTTGAAGGCTCAAGGCCAAAGGATGAGAGTGGACCTTTATGCATTGCCATTGAAGGCGACTGATATAGTGCTTGGATGCCAGTGGTTGGAAACTCTTGGTCCAATCACAACGGATTATTGGAAAGGAACGATGGAGTTTGGGAGATCGAATAAGAAGGTCAAGTTGAGAACTGAGGACCCAGGCGAGTCACCTGATGAGGATCACGATGGACGAGATGGGAAGCTAAATTTTCTAATCCTTGGGGACAAGGAAAGTCTTGAAGAGGAGGGGAATGATACGGAAGTGGAGTTTGTGACCAGAGAGGCTAGTGGACTTGGAGGGCTAAAACGCAAAAAGGGCGCATCGATCGTTGATGCGCACGAATGGGTGAGCAACGAGTACGTGAAGATTGGATGGGACGCGAGCGGGTGCACGCACGAACGGTACGGGCGCGCAAGGCCTAGTCCTCGCGGGGCTAGGCATGGCAAAGGAGCGGCACGCACGCGCGGGCAGGACACGGCAGACGCGAAAGGAGCGGGATGGCGCGCGCGTGCAGGGGCAGCGCGCGGGAGTCCTATGC